ACACACTCTGTGATGTGAGGACAGACTCAACACACTCTGTGATGTGAGGACAGACTTGACACTCTATGATGTGAGGACAGCTGAACTGATTCATCACAAAGCAGTAGCTGCAGGTGAGACTGTAGGTTCTATTTAAGTCTCTGTACGGTCAGACTCGACAGACTTGACAGACTCGTCAGACTCTGCGATCGGAGGAAACATATTAGTGTCCCACTTTGAGTTCAGTTTTTCGATTTTTTGTTAAAACAGAGGAAAAAATGTTTTGTATTTATTGTTTTTTGTTTGTTTTCAGAACAAAAAGGCAAAGCAAAAAACATCTGACGTCTCTTTGTTGGACAGTTCGGACGTCTCCTTGTCGGACAGTCTGACGTCTCTTTTTTGGACAGTCTGACGTCTCCTTGTTGGACAGTTTTAGGCGTCTCAGACGACAGTTTTGATGTTTTGTTGTTGGACATATTGGATGTCTCCTTGTTGGACAGTCTGACTTTTCCTTGTTGGACAGTTTTGATGTTCCGTTGTTGGACATATTAAATGTCTCCTTGTTTGACAGTTTTGGCGTCTCTTTGTTGGATATATTGGACGTCTCTTTGTTGGACATATTGGACGTTTCCTTGTTGGACAGTCTGAGATCTCCTTGCTGGACAGTTTGGACGTCTCTTTGTTGAACATATTGGACGTCTCTTTGTTGGACAGTCTGACGTCTCCTTGTCGTAGTCCATCTTCTCAGAGATGAAGTGTCTCTGGTTTCTGAGCTTGCTCAGTGTGTCCGTCCTGTCACTGTGGGAGGAACTCGGCTGTGAGGGGATGACCCTGAACTCTGTCCTCCTCCGTCAGGTGTCAGGAGCAGCAGGAGGAGGAGCAGCAGGAGGAAGAGCAGGAGGAGCAGGAGAAGGAGGCAGGGCAGGAGCAGCAGGAGGAGGAGCAAGAGAAGGAGACGGAGCAGGAGGAGGTGTCCGTCTCCATCAGAGGAGGAGGAGGAGCTGGGTGTGGAACCAGTTCTTCGTCCTGGAGGAGAACACCGGAGACGAGCCGCTGTACGTCGGAAAGGTACGAACATTTTGATCCTGATTCGTCTTCATCCAGTCAAGTCGCTCCGAATTCTGATGTCATACTGAGACATGTCACACAATATGTCACATGACACATAACATGACACGTCAAATGACACGAAACACCACATGTGACATGACACGTAACACGACACATTGCATGACACTTCACATGACATGTAACAAGAGCCGCCACATGATACGTAACACGACACATCACATGACACATCAAATCAAATCAAACTATTTGTATAGCACTTTTCATGCATTCAAAATGCACATGGTGCAGAGCCCCCCAGTCCTCTGGATCTGAGGGATCTCCAGAACGACGTCCCCACGGGGAGACCGGACACACCTCCCAGTGTGGAGGCCCCCATGAGGAAACACTGGAGACTAAAAGGCAATATGATAAGATAAAACAAGTATGAGATAAAATAATAATAAATAAATAAATGAAGATTTAGAAACTTAATAATAACAAAATGCATAAAGATTTAAAAATAAATCATTCAAAAGCATTAGAAATTAAAAATAACATATAATATAAGAATTAAAAGAGTAGAAGAAATCAGTTAAAAGCCAAACTAAAAAGGTGAGTCTTGAGCCTCCTTTTAAAAACATTAACAGTCTCTGCAGTCCTGATGCTCTCCGGCAGGCTGTTCCATAAGTGAGGGCCATAATGGCTGAATGCAGCCTCCCCGTGGGTTTTTGTTCTGACTTTTGGAACAATTAAAAGGCCGGTGCCGGAGGACCTCAGGATCACCGAGGGTTGATATGATAGAAGCAGGTCAGATAAATAAGATGGCCCAAGACCGTTAAGACCTTTAAAAACTAATAAAAGAACCTTAAAATCCATCCTGAAACACATGGGGAGCCAATGCAGCCATTTTAATACTGGTGTAATGTGCGCCCGCCCTCTGGTCCTTGTCAGCACTCGTGCGGCTGAGTTTTGGAGTAGCTGCAGTTTAGAGATGGTCTTTTTGGGAAGACCAGAGAGCAGGGCATTACAATAGTCTAAACGATAAGAGATAAAAGCATTCATCAGCACCTCCGTGTTAGCCTGAGAGAGAAACTGGCGGACTCTGGCTATATTCTTAAGATGATAAAAACCTGTCTTTGTTACATTTTTGATGTGTGGAATAAAACTAAGCTCAGAGTCAAAAATGACGCCCAGGTTCTTTACACATTGTGAAGGTTTAAAATCTTGTAGTTTTGGTAAAAGTTTCTCTCTCTTGCCTTCAGGACCAAAAACTAAAACCTCTGTTTTGTCCTGGTTGAGCTGCAGGAAATTCACTGCCATCCATGACTTGATATCTAAAATACTGTTAAAAAGGGCATCAGTCGGCCCTGTGTCATCAGGAGACATGGCCATGTACAGCTGTGTGTCATCTGCGTAACTGTGGAAGCTGATGCCGTGCCTCCTGATGACGTCCCCCAGAGGAAGCATATATAGATTAAAAAGAATTGGACCTAAAATTGACCCTTGGGGCACCCCACACATGATTTCACGCGTTCTGGAGGAACATGTATCCATACTTACAAAGAAACAACGATCTGTGAGATAAGAGCTGAACCAGTTAAAAACAGTACCAGAGAGGTCCACCAGGTTTCTGAGTCTGTTTAATAAAATGTGGTGATCTACTGTATCAAAGGTGGCGCTTAGATCCAGTAGTACCAAGACTGTAAGTTTTTGTGAATCAACATTCAACCAGATATCATTTAAAATCTTACCAAAAATCTCACCAGTTATTAAAATTCTGTTATAGGTGGTGTGTATGATTGTTAATAGTTCTTAGAATTCAGTGATAAAAGAGGTGGAATGGTGGGGTGGTCTGTAAACTGTGATACAAAGAATAGGAGGACTGCTAAAACAAAGGCATGATACTCAAATGATGTGTAGCTGTTAAAAGAAACTTCATTTGAGTGCAGTGCGCTTCTGGTTTTAGATGCAGTTCCGCCTCCTTTTTTACCCCCCCAGTAGAAAATAAAAGTTAAAATTTGGTGGACAGGCCTCGGTGAGAACAACTGGTGCGTCAGTGCCAAGCCATGTTTCTGTTAAAAGAATACTGTCCAACTTGTTATCTAAAATCAGATAAAAGTTTTACTTAAAAGAGAGCGCACGTTCAGCACGGCCGGCTTAATGTTCGTGCCGAACGTGCACTCATCATCACCTGTGCGATGTATAGAAGTAGGGGGCAGGATGTTATTGTCATGAGGTTTGCTGTGTGGACGGGGTGCTCTGTACCTTATGATGGTCTCTATCGGGAATATTTCTGGTGAGAGTGTTAGTGACAAATGAGGCCGGACAGGGGGAGCTGGCAGGGGGAAAAGTATTTGGTGCCACTAGTGGTGCAGGTAGAGGTAGAGTTTCTGTGGAGGGGGCGTGTGATGTAAACAGTCAGTCATGAGGAGCAGATTGAACAGCATGCTGAATGTTTGCGGATAGCATGTGGCTACCCAGCCTGTTGGGGGGAAATCCGTCCGTCCTGAAGAAGGAAGACCGGTTCCAAAACAGATTAAAATTGTCAATAAAACCAAGGTCACGTGCACTGCAGGCGGACAGAAGCCAGGTGTGGAGAGAGAGGGTCCTCGAGAAGCGGCACACTCCTCGCCCAAGTGTGGGGATCAGGCCGGAGATAAAAACAGACTTTCCACAGCTGCTTAAAAAGTTAAAAAGGGCAATGAAATCGTTTTTGGTAAGCTCAGACTGTTGGCAAGCTAAATCGTTTGTCCCAACATGTATAACCACTCGGTTTATGGAGGACGATAGTGAGCACAGCAGCCCCGGGAGCTTATCCAGGAGGACCGGGACTGTGGCTCCAGGGAAACAACGAGTGGCAGTGTTTAAGAAACGGATGTTTCTCACTATGTAGTCCCCCACTATCAGAGTGGTGTGGGGGAAGAGGGGACGAGGAGAGGACGGCTGCAGCTCACTGGGGGCAGGTGGTGGGCAGTCAGCGTCTGGACCAGGTGCTGGGGTCACCGGGGTAGTGGGGATCTCCAGAGCATCTCAGCACAGCCTCCTTCAGGATCTTACGTCGAGATGCGGAGGTCGTTGACCAGGAAGACAGCTGCCACAGTCCTGGTCCTCCTGGCGAGGAGGCGAAGTGGTCCCTTCCACCGCTGTCTTACGACCCCCGACCACCACCTTGGCCCAGGACGACTGATAGTGAGGTGTCGAGCAGGAGGAAAGCCGAGGACAGGTGGAGGAGTCCCACGGAGCTGTGTCCTGGAGGGCTGCGGTGAAGGAGACAATCCGCAGTGACCGCTTGTGCGCCACATCCAAGCAGCTAGCCAGAAGTGACTCCTTGTTTTTCAGCTCATCTGAGAGCCAGCGGATGTCCTCTTTAAGGTCAGTGATCTTTTTGTTTGCTTTCCTCAGCAACAGATCTTCTTCACTGGCCATAACGTTAGCTGTTGCGGCTAGCTTAGCCATCAGGCTTAACCATCAGGCTAAGTTAGCTTGATGTGTTCGTGCGACGAGCTTTCCAGTCCACAGGCTAGCTTTTGTCTGTTTATTAAAAAGCATTTGTCTCTGCACACTGGTTCTTGGTGGTTCCAAAAAGAGGAGCAGCTTCAGTAGTGTGGAATACACCGGACTTCTCAGACTTTTTTAGTGACTTACTGCTCAGAGGGAACTCATTCAGCGGCTCCTCTGGCAGCAGCACAGCGCCCGGCCGGTTTTTGTGTCACACAGTCACATCACATCAATCAATCAATCAATCAATCAATTTTATTTATAAAGCCCAATATCACAAATCACAATTTGCCTCACAGGGCTTTACAGCATACGACATCCCTCTGTCCTTATGACCCTCACAGCTGATCAGGAAAAACTCCCCAAAAAACCCTTTAACAGGGAAAAAAAATGGTAGAAACCTCAGGAAGAGCAACTGAGGAGGGATCCCTCTTCCAGGACGGACAGACGTGCAATAGATGTCGTACAGAACAGATCAGCATAATAAATTAACAGTAATCCGTATGACACAATGAGACAGAGAGAGAGAGAGAGAGAGAGAGAGAGACAGAGACAGAGAGATGCAGGTAATGACAGTAGGTTACAACAACATTATTGAAAGTAATAATATTATCACATGATACCTAACACCATACATCACATGACACATACAACATGCAACACACTTCACATGACATGTCACATGACACGTAAGTGAGTCATCAGTGATGACTGTGACTCACCTGTTGGTTATAAACCAGATTAATATGATCAATTCACAAACTGTTAACATGAAGGTTACCTGAAACATGCCTGGTGGCGTTGATAAACGTCAGGTGATGTCAGACATGTTTGAAACACCTGGTGGAATCAGAGCGCTGTTGTCACTGTTTCAAACTGAGGAGAATTTTGACCCTTCATCTGTGTGTGTGTGTGTGTGTGTGTGTGATAGACGACAGAGGGAAGCTGCTCCTGTCTCAGTTCATCAGAGGGAAACAGCATTGGGGCGTCAGTAGCACAGTGGATAGCGCCGGCGCCCCACGTATAGAGGTCATGCCTCGCTGCAGCGGTCGCAAGTTCGACTCCGGCTTGCGACCCTTTGCTGCATGTTGTCCCCCCACTCTCTCTATCTCCCCATTTCACACTGTCCTGTATATTAAAGGCAAAAAGCCCAAAAAATAATCTTAAAAAAAAAAAAAGAGGGAAACAGCGTTGTGTCAGGAGGAGGTGGGGGAGGAAGGGCAGGAGGAGGAAGAGCAGGAGGAAGAGTAGGGGGAGGAGGAGGAAGAGCAGGAAGGGGGGAGGAAGAGCAGGAGGAAGAGTAGGGGGAGGAGGAGGAAGAGCAGGAAGGGGGGAGGAAGAGAAGTAGGAGGAGGAAGAGCAGGGGGGAGAAGGAGGAGGAGAAAGAGAAAGGGAGGGAGGAGGAGGAGAAGGAAGAGCGGGGGAGCGGTCTGCTCAAATGAACTGTGGGGAACCTCCCTCTGTCTTAGCACCTCCTAGATCTCCCTGCTCACCTTCCAACAGCCAGTGAAATTCAGCCGCTGCTCAAATTTCAGACTCTATCTCCACATTTCAAAATGGCCACCACCAAACAAAAAGAGGGACCCGCCCCCTCTGTCTCAGATCAGGTCAGGTCAGATCTAGTCTGAGTGGGTGGAAGTTCGCTGCATAGATCAGCCTCTCATTGGGCGGAACGAGCCACCCGCTGAAGTCCCGCCCTACCACCTCCAGTTGCAGTTTTCAACACGTCCTTTGCCAACTTTTGCGGTGTTTGATCTTGCGGGGATGTAGCCATTTTCCTGCCATAGTTCGTGTCGTGTAGGCGATATTTTTGTGGGCGTGTTACACCAAAACCTGTTTCCCCCCGGCAATATTTTTGCAAGCGCACCGCTGCTGTGGTACCGCCAAGAACGATTGTGATTGGTTGAAAGAAATAAAAAAAGCCGGGACGTTTTTTTTCTCCAATCTTAAAGTGAGAGTCGGCCCACCCAGACCTTTCTTTTCTTGAGGAAGGTCTGGTGAGCGAAACTAGGTCAGATCAGGTCAGATTGCTGTGTCATCTGTTTCTTCCTCACGCATCTTCAGAACCATATTTTAACTTCCTGTTTGACTGTAACGAGAGACCGTGTGCTACCCGCTGGGCGCCGCTGTGTCAAACAGATGAGTTCACATGGCATCATAGACCAGAAGGAGCGTTTATGAGCCCGATGCATTCTGGTAGTTGTAGTTTTCGTTGTATGCTCACACATGTCCCACACACGTCCCTCATATAATAACCCTAACCCCTAACCCTAACCCATAATACATTTTATTTAAAGGCGCCTTTCAAGGCACTCAAGGTCACCTTCCAGAACAAGTACAAGACAATTAAATCTAAAAGGGCTAAAAGACAAACATCAACACAGTAAAATGTGAAGTCTGTAGCAGAGCAATGGCAGTTAAATAGAATAGGCCTATTTAAAAATTGGGTTTTCAGGCTGGATTTGAAAATGGATAAGGAGTCAATGTTCCTGATGAGGAGGGAGGGAGTTCAAGATGCGGGGGGCAGAGTGGCTGAAGGCTCTGGACCCTGTGGTGGACAGACGGGCAGAGGGCACAATGAGGCTGATGGAAGAGGCCGACCTGAGTGTCCGGGAGGGAGTGTTGATGTGGAGGGGGTCAGAGAGGTTATGGGAGAGCGAGCTTATGGATGGCCTTGAAAGTGTGGAGCAGAATTTTAACGTCCACGTTGTGTTTGACCAGTGTCTGGTCATGTGACACCAGTTTAAACAGTGTTTGTGTCTTTCTCCTGCAGAGACAGACGAGTCCATCAGAGACCATCTTCACTGTGTTTGTACGGTCGTTAAGGCTACATGACACGTACAGTAAATATGTTCTGATGGTTATCATGGTCGTTTGTTGTCTCTGCAGCTCCACTCTGACGTGGACAGAGGTGATGGTCGGGTCAGGTACATCCTGAGCGGTGACGGAGCAATGTCCGTCTTCACCATCGATGAGAGGACAGGAGACATTCATGCCACCAAGAGGCTGGACCGGGAACAGCAGCCGTACTACACCCTGAGAGCACAGGCTCGAGACCACCTCACCAACCTACTGGTCGAACCTGAGTCCCAGTTCGTCATCAAAGTCCAGGACATCAACGACAACGAGCCCAAGTTCCTTGACGGACCTTACACTGCCATGGTGGCTGAGAGGTCTCCTGTAGGTGAGTCCAGCACCTGCAGACCAGCAGAGGTGACTCAGATCCAGGACTCTGATCCAGGAATAAGATAAGATAAGATAAGATACACCTTTATTGATCCCACAGTTGAGAAATTTCAGTGTTACGGCAGTCAAGGGGAAAGAGTCAAATTAAAGATTTCAAAATTTAAACTTAAAAACTTAAAACTTGAAAACTAGGCATGCAAAATAAAGTACAAAAATACAAGAAACTGCAATAATAATAATAATAATAATAATAATAATGATGAGCAGTGAACACATCTAGTGCAAGTGATTGTATGTGCAAAAAACAGCAAACAGCTGTGGTGTCGATAAAGTGTCCATGGTGTCCCTAAAGTGTCCGTCCATGGTGTCCATAAAGTGTCCATGCTGTCCCTAAAATGTCCATGGTGTTCCTAAAATGTCCATGGTGTCCCTAAAGTGTCCGTCCATGGTGTCCATAAAGTGTCCATGCTGTCCCTAAAATGTCCATGGTGTTCCTAAAATGTCCATGGTGTCCCTAAAGTGTCCGTCCATGGTGTCCATAAAGTGTCCATGCTGTCCCTAAAATGTCCATGGTGTTCCTAAAATGTCCATGGTGTCCCTAAAGTGTCCGTCCATGGTGTCCATAAAGTGTCCATGCTGTCCCTAAAATGTCCATGGTGTTCCTAAAATGTCCATGGTGTCCCTAAAGTGTCCGTCCATGGTGTCCATAAAGTGTCCATGCTGTCCCTAAAATGTCCATGGTGTTCCTAAAATGTCCATGGTGTCCCTAAAGTGTCCGTCCATGGTGTCCATAAAGTGTCCATGCTGTCCCTAAAATGTCCATGGTGTTCCTAAAATGTCCATGGTGTCCCTAAAGTGTCCGTCCATGGTGTCCATAAAGTGTCCATGCTGTCCCTAAAATGTC